GAAAAGACATTTGGATAATTTGAGCTTATGTTTCCACACACTTGACACTGTCGTACCATATTGAAATATCGCAGATTCAAAAGTACGTTAAACAAAACAAAAACTACTGAAAAACACTGAAAAGATCAGTTCGGACTTGATTCCGACTTCAAACACACCGTAAGCTAAACGTAGTATGCTATAACTGACCAATGGCCGTCGCGAGGGGTGGTGGGACGGACGGCTCATTTCATTCTGGAAGACTAGCAGTGACGTTGCCAATAGTTCTAGACGTTTCAGCACATTAAACAGTAAACATGTCCTTTAATAGTAACGCATATATCCTCTGGTTAATAACATATTATTACGCTTGCTTCTTTAAAAATAAACTATTAATTTAATTAAGAAATTGAGATTTATTGATATCCGGTGCAGGTTTTAAAGTCACCTTTTCTGCAATTCAAACTAAGTAGATAGGCGCAAATTTGATATGTGGCAATGTCGCCTTCTCTATCTCAGTTGGTTTTTACAGTACGTAGTCAACCTCCGATAGTTTGATCGGTTTAAAATGCACAATGTGATATCTGTTCTTCCTAAATCTATGGTTTTAATGTATTTTCCTTTTTACGTATATTTATTTATATCATTAATTTAATAGGACTATTTCTTATTCTAAATTTCGCAAGTAAAATTAGTATCCCATCAAAAATATAGAATGTAAGAAAATGTCTCGCAACAAATATTCTTTCACTATAAAAAGTGGTGAGATCTCATGTAAAACCAAGTCAGTTTATTTTATTTAGTTTCTCTTTAAACTCCTATTCCACAATTTTCTTATAAATTGTTATTATCAATATTAGACATCTTTATTTCTGTAATAATTATGGCAATTATCTTGGCAATTGCACAGCACCATAATTATAAAAGAATAATCTAGCATATCGATGAATCTAAACAGTGCCCTTAAGAATCAAGTTTTTTAATTAGTATAGAATATCATACCGTGCAGTTGCCACATTATCTGGGGGCACGGCAGTAGAGCACAGCCGTACCATCATTTTTGCGAAGGTATTAGCGGCACTTTTGACCATCCTGTAACTTCGTTGTGGATAAAGCAAGAATATTAATTTTCACTACACATGAAGACATACTATAGCTGGCTAGGTTACCAAAATATCTAGTAATTATACCTCATAGTTTATGATTTATCGCTTGTCAAATTTCTTTAATTTCGACATTGACTCACTGACAGATCATCCAAATTCTAGGGTACATCTAGATGTGTCACAAACTTCAAATTTCGAATTTTAGGTAGTTTTAAGCTTATAATAGAAGGAAAAAACGAAAAATCTGGAAATATCCATATGGATTAAAAGTTAGCTATCTAGCCGCTACCGGTAGCTGACTTTCCAGTCAGGAAAAAGGTAATAAACTAGAATTAATCGAAGCGGTCTCTTTTGATTTTATTTGTATATCAAGGGGCCAACAAATCTTTTTTTTTTCAAATTCAAGGATTATGAATTTTTTCTAGTCAAACTTCTTTAACTTTGCCAGTGACTCACTCGCCGTAACCAAAATTCTAAGTTACTTCTAGATGCGATACTAACTTCAAATTTTGAATTTTAGGTAGCTTTAAGCTTATAACCAAAGGAAAAATGTCATACACTGTCAAATATCACAGTTATTGGTAAAAACTACATTTTTTTCTATGGGCCACCCTGTCCTAGTAGTATATTTCATTGTTTATGCCCTTTCTTTTCAATAGTTTTATTTAAATTTACCCAAAATATATATAAATTATAATACTTTACTTAACTAAAAAATCTTATCGTACTGTTATCTCTATTGGTTGGTATTTTCGTGCCGTTTATGTTATATAATGGTTTCTCTATTATAGATGCTGAGTTCAGGCTCATGCCAGGCCTTCTCAGAAACTGTTCTGTTTCGTCTACTCAAAGAGACATGATCCTGGGGTAGTATTTTCAAATGTACTCGAATTTTCTCGCATGCGATCTAAATCGAGCGAAAAAAATCGTACACGAATTTAAAAACCTATTTTTGAACGCCCTTCGAAAATTTACTCGTATACGCGTAAAACTGCTGGCGGCAACGCCGCAAATTCGTACATGTTTGGTGACCAAAAAGAAGAAGAGACCGTATTTGCCAGAGTTTGTGACATATAACATAATCTAACCTTAAATTATTTGCTTAGTTTTGTCAAGTTTTGTTGTGTTGTTTATGTTATGGATTTTTAAATAATTTCTTTTCTATAATTCCATACATCCATTATTATTTTACAAAAAAGAGTGCAAAATTGAATGTTGTAATGGATCAAGAAAAATATAAGAAAGAAGGGTTTGTTTCTGCAAAACAAAAAACAGAAATAAATTGCATTATTCATATTTCTTGCTAAATCCCACTGATAACTCCCACTTGCAAAAAACCTTAATGTGGTTAAAACCTGCAAATAATATACTTAAATATAAAGTTATTAAAAGAATTTTAACTAAAAAAAGCATTCGAGGAGCATTGTCTTAAACACTTTATAGCGTGTATTATTTACCTATTGTAGGTACTTACTTTTCTTAATAGTAAGGTGAGGTTCCAAAAGACCTATTAACTTATAGGCCACAGGTTTTGTTAATCTATATAATTTAACAAATTGATTATCAGACAATTCAAAGGGGTTGAACAATGGACGGTAGATTCTATCCCCTCTATTCGCCAAGATTTCAGCTTCTTCCAAAGCATTTAAAATATTTCTTTCAATAAGAAAATTTAGTCCAGCCATTTTTCAAAATCGTTGAAAATAAATAACTTATTAATCGCAATTCACAATAAGCAATAAACAAAAACAGAAAAATAGGTTAGAATCGCAATAATCGCATACGAAGTTTCACGTTCGAATGGTGTATACCCACTTCAACCACCGCATACGAAAATAGTTGTGCACGAAGCCCTCGAAACTATTCGAAAATACAGTTTTCTGATTTTCATGCGAAGTTTACCAACTTTCGTACACGACTTAGCGTGGACTTATCTCCGCATGGTTTCGAAAATACGACCCCTGATATCGTCCTCGTCTTTATGCCGTCGGCCAAGGTACCGCCGTTGTTTCCTGAAATTAATTTATCGAGTAGCTCTTCTATTACGATATTGACTAGTAACAGGCTTAAGAGGTCGCCTTACTTCACTTCTCTATTTAGTTTAATTTTACGGGATGTTTCTTGGCCGACTTTAATTATTGTTGATGCCATATGCAACGTCTCCATTATGTATGTGGTCATATGATTGTCGACTCCCATTCTATCGAAGCCCACGGTACACACTGTTCTGTGACACCGTGTCGAACGCCTTACAGATACCACGCTGAACGATTTATCCTGCTCGGTTCTAGACCTGATGTAGTGGTCTAGAAGTAGGTCATTCGCTAGGGTTCTATCGATCTGCGTAAATCCCCTCTGGCCTGCATTCAGCTCAATACTGTTTTTGAGTTTTGTGCTTATTATTCTATGCATTAAGCGTTGCCCGGTCAACCCAGTTGGTGAGAGACCCTCTGTCCCATCTTTGGGTACTAGGACGGTACGAAGCAGCTTACAGTTGGAAGGCTGGACGTTCCTGAGTAGTATGGCCGACATTACTACCGCCCAGTGGCTTGCCGGAATGTTCTTTGCCTGTTGCACCTCACCTTAGCCTTCTCCACGTCGCGCAACGTCTGTTATTGACGGAAAGGTATCTTCGACGTCGTCTATCGATGGTGTTACTGGTGATTCGTTCAGGGCCCGACCAGACAGGATTAGTTCAGCCAGCATCGACTTATCCTTTTTGAAGAGATCCTGGGCCTTCTTATGTGCACTGGCACGCGAATCCACGTGAAGCTCCATAGTTTTTCGCTGTTTATCTCTAGTTGTTAGGGCGATTTGTTTTCTTGCTGTCTGTAGGTGTAATTTCGGCTAGCCAGGTGTCGCGTCGATTGATTCTCTCAGTGCGGGATTCCCAACTCTGAACTGAAACAACTGAATTCGGGGTTTTCCGGTATTGGCTCTTCGATATTGGTGAGCTAAGAGCGGTTCGGAAATGCATCGTCATAGGGCGCGTCAGTGGTTCTCTCAGAAAGTTTTCTCAGAAAGGATCAGTGCTGCCAGTCGGAGTTTTGCTATCTGATGTCGTGCTGTTGCTGATTATCTGTATTTTGGGCGGGTTTGGACCTGTTTCTGGCTCCAGAGTAAAATATGCCGTTTCATTTGGGCTGTTGTTCGGCCGTGGCGTAAACGCTGACGTTGTCGCTCCGTGATGGCGTTGTAGGAGGCGTCGAGATTCCGCTAGCGTTCCCACTATGTTTTGGGACAGATGGCTGACAAGGATCATTTCATTCCTCGTTCAAGCGGCACATGATGGTCTTGGCGGCTCTACTCTGGAGTAGCTCTGGACAGCTCTGATGGTGATCTGCGCCTGTGTCTGGAAAGGTAGTTTTCTTCTTCTTTTGCAACAGAAGGGATTTTGCTATCGCGGTGAAGCCACTAGCTTTAGAGAAGATTATAGAATTGTAAAAGATTATATTAAAAAAACTATCGTTCTGTTATTTCATGGCAAGGATATGAAATCTATTGAGACGGACTGCTCATTCACGGCATTTAGAGGCCGCATGAGATCGGTTATCTCGTAAGTAAGCGTCCAGTTAGCCACTTGCAAAATCGGTAGACGATTCTATCGCTCAGGACCGCGATTAGAATTCCGCGTAAACAAAGTAGTCGTACCATGTTAACCTTAGTAACAAATAGAAGACGATAACTCAACATTAAACTTATAAATTTTATATTAATAATGGTGTATATTTTATCGCATTTCGGATAAAACTGTCAAAAGCTTTATTTTGATTTACAGCACCTTACTAAGCTACAGGGTGTACCATTTAAAAAATAAAGTGTATACCAATAACCAGTATGTGACATGTGACAGCATAGGTATGGGATTTCTGGTAATACTCAATAAAACTTCACTAAAACCCTACAATTACTTACTAGTTTCCACACACTCTAATGGGCCTAAAGTAATTCGTCCCAAAGCATCTTCTGGAAGATCTGGCTGTTGTAAAAATACCATTTCCGTAATACCCAGTGTATTCGCTGAAATAACAAAAATGACATAATTTAAAATAAAATATACCCCATTTTGTCCATATAATTGAATTGCGAGGTCTTAAATGCATGTCATATTTGAATAAAAATGCATTTTTAATGAATTAGTGTATTACATGCACCTGAAGCCTTAATTAAAAAGACTGAGGAAGAAGCATTTCAATAAAACTAGCGAGACCGTGAAGAGGTTTCACTATGGTAGACTTAAATTCCGGGTTTAGCAGGAGCGTTCGATTTCTTAACATTATTTAATATAAATAAGAATGCTTTAGTAATATACTTGCTTTGCTTTAAGTTAAACAATTACAAAAATAATACTAATTAAAATTAACAAAAAAATTGTGTTAGAAATAAATAAGAAATTAATTATTTAATACAAGAAATTGTAGAAGTTTTATGAGTAAGCATAAAATTTTCTTATCCTAATTATTTTTATCAGTAGTTAATAAATATTAAAATAAAAATATATTTAGTTAATTCTAAACGAAATTCTTAAATTAATTATTTTGTTTTTCCTGAAACACAAGGTGAGTCTTAAATAAGTGCAAATATTTTAGAGATAGTATATTTTGACCAAACCAGAAACACATCTAAACAGTTTGTTTTTAGGAAAAGATCCAGTGGTCAAAATCAAAAAATTTAATCAAAAATTATTTTTGAAGTGAAACTTCTTTACGCGCGCTGTGAGTGAAAATTCAAGGCCGTGACACACAAGCTAGCGCGAGACGCAAATCAAAAATATTGATATTTTAATACAAATTTTGTGAAACTGAATCAAATTATTTATTAATTTTTAATGTATTACTTTTCCAACATTTCAAACGACACTTTTTTAAAGATGTCATGGAAATCTTTCAATTTAATGGGTGTTAGTAAGAACTTTCACTTCAAAAATGCGCACATAGTGTACACACATTTTTTTATTTTCAAAGAAAAATTTAGGTTATTTTGGACTTGTTTGAAAAACGGATAGAGAAAATGGTTCTTTTATTGAGATCCACCAGCTCTGAAAATATTTGCACTTATTTAAGACTTACCATGTATATGTCTACTTATTCAAACTTTATTAATATTGAAATATTGTTCCATTATTTTTTATGGTTTCGTTTGGAAGCATGCTGTGCAAGTGATTATTTTTGAAGTCTCTTTTTAATATTCGCAGTAATCGCATTATAATTCAAGTCTAGATAAAGGTCTTTCCAGATAATACAATTTAAAAGAGATACAATGAAATAATCACAGGAAGAGCACCAAAAACGTTAAAATTCAAATCTTTTGGAAGAATAGTAAAGCATACGGAAGAATGTTTCAAAATTGATACATTGGCGTAGCTTCAGTCTTTAATATATAAATATAAAAAGAATATTTGACTCTTTCCTTAGTTTTTTTATTCGATAACCAATGAAAATGTTTAATCACCTGTTGTATAGTATCCATCATCCGTATTCCATTTATCATCATTTACGTCATCGCAATTACACCACTGGGCAGGATTTTCACATTTTCGACCAATAGAACAAGGACACGTACCTCTTGAATGAATACCTTTTTAAAATCAGGTTTTTGTACATGTAGTTAAATATGTTACCTTTTCACATCGCCAATATAATCTACAGTCTCATTAGCTGACGAAATAAACCAGGACGCAGAGTGCAATTCTAATGGTGCCTTTAAGCAATCATATTTAATATATTGGCTGCAGTTCAGAGAATGGGAGACAAGTTCTTGAAGCATTTCCGCATTGAATTCTCGATATTTTATATTAAAACTGTAAAATATTTATTAGTATAATTTTTCAATGAATTTTACTGAAAATTACTTTACAAAATGTGGTTGATTATAATTAAATCTTGTTAAGAATAAATTAAATAGTGTTTAACTTAAAGAATATATCAGAAGAATATTTACAAAACTAGAGATGAGCAACAAATATCAAACTGCGATTCAATCGCAGCGATTTTAAAATCGCAATCGCAACCCACGATTGACTCTCATAAGGAACTGCGACTGCGATTTTTTCTATTTGCGGGTTTCAATTTAGGTAACCAATATTACTATAGTTGTGATTTGTGATTTTCTTGCGATTTGCGATTTTGTTGAGATTGTGATTTTGTAAACTAGAACCGTGATAACCTTCTATCTGCTAGTTTGAATTTTTAGGAGTTGGGATTTGCGATTTTGTTGCGAACGTAATTTTGTGGTCCATTGAAGCATTTTATAGTAAACTGCGATTGTAGCAAAGTCAAGGGTGGTTTGACTCTATAACTTTTTTATTTCATTTTCTAATAAAAAAATGAGATTTGGTATGTAAGCATATGACATAAATTAGGATTAATTGACGTATTCAATTCGTTTCGACCACTTCCTGTTTCACCGGAAATGACTACAACTCTTGATTTTTAAATGGCACCCTCGGTATTTTTTTACTTTATTGGATAGAAAATGACACTCTGAATAGAATGCCTAGGACAATATTTAAATATTAAAATCGCAATCGCAGGTTACAGTCGCAGCGATTTAAAAATCGCAATCACAGTTTCAATTGCGGTTGGAGTATCGCAGTTTTGTTCATCTCTATACAAAACATCATTGAATTTTTTAATGAAATTATTAATCAAGATTTTTCAAAGCTTTTTTTTACACTTTTCGTTATTTTATATGAAAACAGAGTAAGAAATAACCATATTAAATAATCTACAAATGTACAAATTATAAAAATAAATTCAATCATTGGATAATGGTAGGCATTCCATATTTCGAGAAATTAGATCACTGAATATAACATTTGTGTTTGAAATATGACATCGAATATTGGAAACCTAAATATTTCAATTCTTTCAATTCGATCCTTTCTATTTGGGTAATAATTCGATTCTCAATATTATTCAATTGTAAAAATCAATCGCTTTTCTCTGCTTTAACTAGTTCCGATCAATATCTGCAACTTTATATCAGAACTATCTTCAATAATAATCTCTCAGCTTTTCTAAATTTTCTCGAATGCCGTTGTCTATTGCCTTAGGCTCAAATTTCTAACGAACGAGAATGCTTTTATGTTTCATCAAAAAAGGAATATTTTTCAAATTATAGGATATTCTTATCCATATTTCAAAACTGGCAAGGTTAAAATTATTAATTATTATTTGAATACCTGAAATCTTTTTCTGAAGGAGAGCGTACATCCATTTGACTGGGCAAATTATGTTCCACGATTGTTTTTGTTGATTCTTCTATACTTTGAAATTCACACCTGACATGCGCGGGCGGAAATCTTCCGTTTCCATCTATATCTATCAGATATACATCCGGTTTAGTATAACCTTAAAATTAACAAAGCAAATATTTAATATTTTATAATAATTAAGTATTTGGTGTATTAAATCTACCCAATAATGCTAGTTCTTCACAAGTCTTTCTATACAGAGCAAAATGACAATTTGTTCCTGTATAGCCGGTATTTGTACAATCACAGATTAGTCGATCTTCTTTAACGGAACATTTGCCGCCATGCTCGCAAGTATTTGGTCTCAGGCATGCATCTACAAACCTATTTATAAAACCTAAATTTATATTAAAACACACCACTAATAAATAGGCACAAACAAGTGTTGGACAACAAAACCATAGAGTAATATTCCTCACCTACAGTCGTCTAATGTAACTTCGCCAACTACCCTTTCTGTTTGAAGAACACTTCTAGGTTCTAATACTACCCCATTAACCTCTATATCCCTCATGCATCTAGTACACAAATAAAACCAATTAAACTGAGATATTTTTACTGCTATATATTTACCCCACTAAACCTGCGTTTGATCGAGATCCAGCAGCGACTTTAATCTTGTCACCTATCGCAAATTTCAAGTCACTAATTTTTTCAGTCTTTCCTTTCTTATCAACGCTTACAGTGATTTCGTCATTTGAATACGTCACATTTAAGAAATGCCATATTCCGGGTGTCTTTTTAACGCTTATTAAATGAGTGGTATTCTTTATACTGTTAAGTAGCTCAAATCGGACTTCATCATTTACAACTCGAACCTCCCAATACAGTCCAGTCTGAGCTTCACTAGAAGCTATAACGCTGAGATTACTACTTGCCTACAAATGAAATTAATTAGAGTGTTTGAAACAGACATGTTAATAAAAGACCTGTAAATACCTTAAAATGAAAACTTAAACTAAGAGAATCAACATGATCGTTGTGCCACCAAATGTGACTAGCTGAAAATGGAAAGGTAATAGGAATTATGTTTACATCAGCTTCATAAAATTCTGGCCTCAGTAATCCAAGATAATGGACCTTAGGATTATTTTTATGTAATTCGTAGATAATTGATATGTCATTATAGAAAACATATTTTAGAGATCCTACAAAATTATTTGAGGATTTTAAACCTATTTTTTTCTGTAATTCTGGTCCTCCACCTATAAAAATAAAAAAACCGTCATTGTGTTGAAGTTCGAAGAATACTGCTTTACCAATATATATTTCGGGATCGATGTAAAGTAGTGGCTTCCCTGTAATGTTGATAGTTTTTATTTCGTCGTTTAAAATTAAATGAACTTTTTCATGTTCATGAAATATCGTAAGGTTATTCCATTCTTTTAATTTAAAATCAGGAGTATTTCCAAGGCGTATTGTAACAGGATTATTTTCACCAAAATCCATTACAATATACACAGATCTGTTATATATAGACGCAGCAATGTAATGATCAATGCCATGTTCTCCTATAGCAAAAAAAAACTATTAAATATACAAAAAAAACTTAGTTGATGAAAATTATTGAAGTTTGTTTTAATATATACTCTATTACAAGTGTTTGAACCTGAAGATATAAATTTTATTTTTCGCCAAAAGAATATATTATATATTTTATATTTGTTTTGGCAGTACTTAAAATAACAACATTTTACTTTTAAGGCAGAGATTGACTTGAGCCGAACGTTGTAATGTAACGCTTTGCAACACGAGAATTCGTTAGTCCATGCCGGGAAAAAGTGACCGAACCGAGCGTCTTGACTGTCGCATTTTCAGCGAAACTCTTGGATTGCTACATTATAAGTCAGTAGAAGTTCGGCAAACGTCCGTATTCCAAGCATATTTATTTCTAGCAGATAAAGTGATTTTAATAATTGTAGTTTAACGTGCTTGTGTTGGCAGTGTAAGAAATAAAATAAATAGCTACAAAGGTTGAATAAACGTAGTACTCCTAATTTTTAGACCCGATATTTTTTAAAGCTGAAAAAATACTGAAACACGGCGAGCCGAGTATTGAAACTCCGAACAAAACAGTAGTCGAGAGCAACGAACAAGCCTTTAAATTTTTATGAAGAAACCTGTTAATAAAAAGGAACAAGCACAGATATTAGTTATTAAGTCTCCGTCTATTTTTGTTAAGTGTACTAAAATGTCTCGAGTTCTAAAACATCACAAATTAATATCATGAAGCATCAATCATCATTACCACTATAGTTTATGATAGTGGTAGAGACACGAATGAAAAAAAAAGAAGAAAACGACACTGAATACGAACTGATATTCTAAATAGGGTCATTATACAACTAGCTCTTCGGGGCAGTTTTGCTATTACACGTCAAAATCATTGACCAATAGTTTGGTAAAGAAGATGGCAAACCTATTACTATAGGCATACCTACATTTGACACTCAAGACCTGTTTTATACCGTTCATGGTTAGTGCTTCCTTTGGCGGCGGACTACTGTCATCACAGTTTGAACTGGTGCCAAGAATGGCGACATTTGGAGACAAAATGGTATAATGCCATATACAGTGAAAAATCGTGATTTAATCTTGATATAAATGAAGGTGGTAAATCAGTTAAGTCGTCAGTCTCATTAAAGCAACCTAACAGATTTGAACTGAAAGACGGAAAACTGCAACTGTGTCCACACGTTTCATTTTGCTAGTTGAATACATTCAGTTGTTTTAGACATCTTTCGTTGATTTCAAATGTCTGCAATATTACAAACAGTTATTCGAGAAGGATATTTACCATATATTCTGATGTATCAAAGAAGACGAAAATGGCCTAGCTGGTAGTTTTATTCATCTGCTGATAAAGCGTTTTGAAATAAAGAACAAATCAGCTGCTAGTGAGACGCCTAGATGCAAAACCAGATATTTCCAATTTTCTGATTTTTGCTGTAAATGTATGGATATATTTATTTTCATAAAAATGCATCGATTAGAAGCATAACCAACATTCAAAATAAGTTATTTCGCATACCAAATCTTGGATAAATATTTCTCTGAAGTTCAAAGCAAGATATATACAATGATATAAAACACGCAAATGCAGATATATCCAGCAACGTACAAAATCAGATATTATCCATACGATATCCATGCGGAATATTATATAATAACCAAAATCAGTTATATCCGTGGTACGGTTACGCCGTTGCTGGCTAACTCTGTATTATTAGTTTTATTGTAAACAGTGTGGTGAGAAGACTTTGTCGTTCAATATTCAAAGTGTTTTTAGTGTGTTTGTTTTATTATAATTAGGAATATGACTGCCCCGACAGAAAGAACCCCTTATTTAGCTCGAAAGAAACTTAAAAATGAAAAAATATGGAAAAGAAGTGCTGCATTGGAGAAAAGGTAAACGTTTCTTTTTTCGCGTAAAGTTTTTAAGTTGAAAATAGCGTGTACTTTAGATATTCAGCTAAAAAACCACCGAGTTATCCCGTGTGCCAACATGATACAAAGAGCTTTAAATGCTTTCAGTTATCTAATCTTGACGTAACTCAATTTCATGCAAAATTTTACAAGTCTCGCATCAAGAAAGATCAAGATGCATATATCATCAAACACTGCACCCTAAGAGAAGACGCCCATCGAAAAATAAGCGAGATAGGTTGAGAAGCAAAATTCAAAATCAGATATTTTATGTTCTCAATTTCAAAATCAGATATATTCATTTTGTTTATCGAGTTAAAATCTCTAAACTTCAATATAATTCTACGATTTTCAAGAAAATATCAACAAAAATCATATTCTAACCCCCGATACAAACAATTCAGGGAAAAATTGAAAATTGTGAAAACGGCAGATTTTTGCGGTTTTCCCAGTTTCAGTTATGACGGATATATCTGATTTTGCATCTAGGCGCCTCATATATTCAAAGAAAAAGTTCAGGAAGGCAGTTCAGTCAATATTTTCTCATAACTTGGAAAACTAAATGAAAAAAAATTGTGTGCACTATGTACGCATATTTGAAGTGAAAGTCTTATTTCCGTCTGTCCGTCCGTCTGTCTGTCCGCCTGTCCGCCTGTCCGTTTGTCCATGTCCTTTGTCCGTCTGATGATTTCATTCGGGTACCTCTATCCACGTGCCGAATTTGGTTCAAAGCGACCCATAATGAAGAAAAATCCTGATGATTTCGTCCATTTTGAGGCATCGATTTGAAACGTCGAGGGCGTTATCCTGTAGCCCGTTCCCAATTATGCCGTAATCGATACATATTTTTCTTCATATATTAAATCCCACCATTCCACCTATTCCCACCCTGATGAAGATGCAAACGAAACGTCGCGCGTCGTATCCAACTTCGTAGGGTGGGACCGTGTGCACCGTTGCTCCCATAGTCTACCCACCAAATTTGGTTGTGATCGGACGACATTCACTTTTGGACTTCTCTTCGAGCCCCATGTACCGGGTGGCCAACTAAGAATGGATGGCTGTATCTCAGAAACTACTTATCCTATAACTTTGGGAAAACAATTCTAATAAGTAAATTGACCAAGAGAAATCACTGGAAATTATTTTCAAGTTCGAAAAATGTCCGCTAGGGGGCGTCTCTCTGATTGCCAATCAGAAAACAGGGTTTTTCTCAAAAATATGCAAGTGAACAGGTATTTTAAATATTACTATTGTAATCATCGAGAAATTTGTATTTTTTTTGATATAGAGTGTTTTGCTCTAACTCATAAAATAAAGTGGTGGGGGAAGATTAAACTTGCTTTTATTAAAATAAGGATAACTCTGGTTTAGGTTAACTGATTTAGACAAACTAGGGCTCGTTTAAAAGAGCTTTTCTTCCTTAATAATCTTCAGTATAAGCGAAGGTGCGAATGTTAACAATATGCACTATTGGTCCAAATCTACCCTGGATGCAAGTAGTTCAGCACCAAGATCGTTGATCGATACATGTTTAGGCAGGATGAAATGAACTATCCATAATTTCTAAGAAATGAATTGCCAATTTTGTTAAGGGATCTTTCATGATGCATCTGTCGCAATTTCATCAGCATGAATGCAGTTGGTGTAGATGATGCAGTTGGTGCAGTTGTGTCGCTTATTTTGCCATGAATGTGTGGGGCTCCTTGGATACCACTTACTTTAGTAGATAGAGACGCTGGAGCGGCATATTTCCATGGCCAGCTATGTCATCGAATTCAATATGCCTGGGTTTTAATTTATGGGGTCGAATCAAGAACGAACATGGATAAATAACAATTAAGTGGTATTAAAATGAAATTAAAATATATGTTTTGATATTTTGACGTAACCAATTTGCCTCTTTTTGTTTCCTAGCTTACTACTATAATTTTTAGACCATATAATCCTAAGCGGCAGCCTAACATGATTTGTTCTCTTAATATCTCAGGTTAGAGAGAAGATAGAAAGTTACGGTTTGCGCTGATATTTAGGAAATTTTGTGCTCTATTTAACTGTGCAAAGGACCAAATAGCCTCCTATTTAATTTTTTTATGCAAAAGCGCAATATCAGTTATGATGTCAAACAGCGCCCTCTAGCTGCCACAAAAAAAAAAAAATGGAAACAAAGTTTGTACTGGAAATCATTAAGGAAGAAAAACTCTTTTAAACGAGCCCTAGTTTGTTTAAATCGGTTAACCTAAACCAGAGTTAGCCCTATTTTAATAAAAGCAAGTTTAACCTTCCCCCACCACTTGATTTTATGAGATAGAGCAAAACACTATATATCAGAAAAATTACAAATTTCTCGATGATTACAATAGTAAAATTTAAAATACTTGTTCACCTGCATACTTTTGAGAAAAAACCTGTTTTCTGATTGGCTATCAGAACAACGCCCCCTAGCGGACATTTTTCGAACTTGAAAATAATTTCCAGCGATTTCTCTTGGTCGATTTACTTATTAGAATTTTTTTCCCAAAGTTATACGATAAGTAGTTTCTGCGATACAGCCGGCGTCCATTCTTAGTTGGCCACCCGGTACATTCCGAGTTTCAGCACTAATTTTAAACTCACATAGGGCCGATGCTCCAAAGATAGGTACGACGCTCCAAAGACCCATCTCAACTTTTTTCTAAGCCGTAGGCTATACTTGCAACTTTTCCTCTCGTGTGTAGTGTCGTGTCATAGTCTTCAAAAATACATCCTCATACTTCAGATATTTTTTATACACTTATATAGGTTATAGTTGTTACGACAAATATTAAAGAAATTAACGCTTTCATATATCTGTTAAGCAAATTAAGAACCAATCTGGAATTATAATATAATTTGTTGTAGTAGAGGTGTTAATTTTAGAATAAAGATAATACCTACGGATTTTTCTATTTATAAATGATTTTTTATGACCGTATTCAGTGGCGCAACTAGGGAGGTTGGGGGGGGGGGGCGCTTATCTTACTTATCTTTATCTGCAGAATATGCTGCCAAAGTTTCTGGAATGCAGTTCGGACCACCCTGTATATTATGTTCTTGTACAAATTCT